TAATACTATGAAATTAGGATAATTCCGATCTCCCTAAACACTTTGAACCACAGAATGAAAAGCCATCCTGAAGAAGGAATATTCCTTTTCAGTAAATTCTCGCCACGTTCTTACAGTTCTAGAATGAAATCCTTGTGAAAATTATCATGACAGCCAGATGTGCAGTGGATACATTTTCATGTAGGATATGATTACCCATTTAAAATCCATGATTGGTTGTGTGTTCGAAGGTTTCAATATGATTGTATTCAAGTGCATCGATGTTGACTGTCTCGTTGATGTTATTTCTTGGCCTCTCAGTATTATTGTTTGCTCTTTATTGACTGATAAACAGTTGTCAAGTTCTCCAGAAGTGGTTTTCCAATGGTTATCTAACCGATGTCAGCTCATGGTGAAATCTTGTAACCAATCAAATCCCTGCAAACCAACACCTGATGCATTTTGTCTATTTTATACATACATTTACTAAATGCACACTGAAATGGGTATCAGACTTCTAGGAATTCTCCGCTATTCTTGTGATTTCATCTGCTTGAAACCTTTGCATTTCAACTTATGCCTGTAATCATTCATGTGATTTACTCATCTAGTTAAATGACTTCAGTTTTCACTAAGAATTGGGATACCATTTTGAAGAACCATGTGAATCTACTAAATGTCTTAGTTCAACCGGAAAAATGTGAACAACTTTGATAGAGGAAACACGTAATGCCGGAGAAACTCTGGAATTTCGGTGCTTAGATCAATCTGTAATTAACGGACCCGTAAATACATTTCAAATTTATCAGCCAATAAACAATAAGTCACATGATCCAAAGGCTAGATGTCAGGTCAATGAAATGAACAAGGCCTTCGATAGCTTTGACCGAAAAGTAATTTGGAAACCACTTTAACACTATGGCGTGCCCCAAATCTTCATCAACCTCATTCAAGAGGTGGCTGTATGACAGTGCCTACCATATTTCAGGTGATCCACAACGGAGAATTCAGCCAAGCTATTGAAGCGAAGACAGAAGTAAGAAATGTTTGCCTACTATCACTAATACTACTCAGAATTGTAGTGGACTCTGAGGAGTGAGAAGAAAGGAATACGTTGGACGATTAAGAAGACTCTAGAAGATCTGGATTTTGCAGATCACTTATATCTGATATCCAACAGGCTCGAAGACTTGCAGTCGAAAGCCAATAAAAACTGGCTGAAGCCGCAGCCAGAGAAGACAGGACTCCCGGTGGTGAACATAGAGAAAACGGAGGTGATGAAGAAAACCAACCACCACCAAAAGCAACAACAGCCGGGGACCAGTCATTATCAATGGAAGAAATTTGAAACGGGTTATTTCCTGAACTTATCTAGGCAGCCAGCATCGTTTCAACCACACGTGGAGGCACGGATAAAGATGTCAGAGCCAGAGTGGGAAAGGCAAGGTACACACCTTCATCAATCTGAAATCAGTTTACAAATCTTCAGCTTCACTCACTCAGCAAAAACAACAAGATTCGGATTTTCAACACACTGCTTCTATATGGGTCAGAAACTTGCACTGCTCGTGAGTCATGGAAATCATTTCCAACAGACCAGTGTAGGCTTTTATCAATAGCTGCCTTCACTGGCTTCATACTGAAGACCAGATTAGCAACAAGAAACTCTGAAGTGGAACAAACCAACCAAGAACCTATTGCTCAACAAATTTGTAGGAGAAATTGGAGATGGAATGTGCGCACCCCACTGAGGAGACCATCGAATGACATCACGCGCCAGGCCATCATTCGAGTTAAAAATAAAAATTGGGCATCACTTTGAAGTAGGCATAGAGAAGATCGTTCGAAGAGGAGATGCGAGATTGTGGGCAATCATGGGGCCAGCTGAAGAGTGAAAATGTATCGTAGAGGCCCCATATTCCACTCGGAATCCAATGGAGTAATAATAATAATGATGTAATAATAAATACAAGTCAACACAGTCACCAGGAAATCTCCGGAGATAAACGATCATAGACAAGGTTACCAGGAGAGATGGATATTTTCGCCAAGGATAATCCTGAAAGCCTTCTTCACAGTGAAAATATCACTGATGAAGATGTTTTCCAGGAGGACAACAAAAGCTTCTCACTAAAATGTCAATTCACTTTTTACCAACTTGTTGTGTGAACAGTAACTGGAATCCTTAGGATGCATGTATCCTATTCAACTAATTAACTCTACAGTATAACACAGCCGACTCTATTTTAGATAGTCACTGAAGTTAATTCTTTCTCTTAATAAACTGTATTAATCTATTGACAATGATTTCTTTGTTCTAATTTATACTGTGTATCGGTAGTTCCCGCTAACTATGAGGGAAGTTCGTATTGATTCACGCCAGATACAATCCTAAGTTAATGAAAACAAAACACGTAGTTCAGCGAAGAGTCTCTTTTCAACGGCGAATTCATTTTCTAAGCTGTACAATCGCAAATATATATATTGGGTTATTTTGTATGTATGTGTACATTAAGTTTGTCAAACAAAAATAAAATTGGTTATAGTTATTTTAACTAAACAGGTGAAGATTGGTAACTGGAGTTACGTAATACAAAATCAGTCAAGAAAATTAGGTGTTAATGAAATTAGGGTAGTAACAAAGGTGATGAGTTGTCACAAACAGTTGTTAAAAGAAGTTATGTAATATTATAAATAGTTTGATGAGTGAGTTTTACTCAGGATACACATAGGAACAAAGTAGATAATACGAAATTACGTAAGAGTTCTAAATGAATACAAGAATTATAAGCAATTAAAGAAACAGGCAAAGAAACAAAATTAAGTCATTAAAAATCAAAAAAGTTGTTACCATGACAGTAGAAGTGGTTGAGTAATTCTCTTTTGTATGCACAGCTCCGGTTTTTCTATGTGAATGGTCATAGCTTCAGCGATGCAAAGAAGGCGAAACCGTATTACCTTTGATAGGTTGTTCTTGACTCTGTAGATTACTTTGAAGCAGGAGGCGTTTGTTGAGATGGAATGATCAGTGTTAACCAGGTGTTCAATTATCGCACTCCTTATTGCACCACTATTGCCTTTTCGCAACCATACTGGCTGGATAATGTTCTTGAATCCTCTTGGATAGGATTCGGGTCGAACGACCAGTGTACCTGGCTGGCTCTACAGCAGCAGGTGAACTGATATATTGACACAGAAGAAGATTACTCAACCGCTTCTACTGTCATTGTAACAACTTTTTTTTACTTTTAATGACTTAATTTTGTTTGTTTGCCTGTTCTTTAATTGCTTATAAATCTTTACAATTCTTGTATTCATTTAGAACTCTTACGTAATTTCATATTATCTACTTTGTTCCTATGTGCATCCTGAGTAAAACTCAGTCATCAAACTATTCATATTATTACATAACTTCTTTTAACAACTGTTTGTGACAACTCATCACCTTTGTTACTACCCTAATTTCACTAACACTCAATTTTCTTGACTGATTTTGTATTACGTAACTCCAGTTACCAATCTTCACCGTGTTTAGTTAAAATAACCATAACCAATTGTATTTTTGTTTGACAAACTTAATGTACACATACATACAAAATAACACATATATATTTGCGATTGTACAGCTAAGGGGGGAAATGAATTCGCCGCTGTAAAGGGACTCTTCGCTGAACACTACGTGTTTTGTTTTCATTAATGCCTGGATGGGGATTATCCATGAACAATCCTAAATCACGCCTAGACTACTAACTGTTAATAAACCCAGAAACGAGGGAAGTTTAACAACTCCAACAACACCATCGCTGTCACGAAACTTCGAAACATTGAAGCCTTATATTGCACTCAGAACGCATGGAATTAAGGGAAATACTGCATACTACTTATTTTTAATAAGTACTATGGATATAAACCTTTTAATACGTTGTAAGTCACATTCAGTGCGACAGCATTCTATTTTGTCCACAGTAATCGTAATAAAGTGTACTTTCTCTGCATGTTTTGATTTATATTCCACTATCTTTTGAAACGGGTTTATTCTAATCTTTAACTTCCTTTGTTTACACAGGTGTTCTTCAAGTTAATCTTCGCTGTTCATCTTATTGATGTACGCTGTCGAAACGGCTTTAAAATAGCAACTAACCCAAACGCCTTACGATTTGAAATCGCTAACTTGTTAATTATTACTGGTATCCATTCGTATAGTATCTATGTATCTAGGAAAAATCCTGTTTTTTAAATTTTATCCGCAGTCTGGATTTCTGAGGGGTAATCTACAACCAACTTCTTGTAAAGAAGGCTGAAATGTGCAAAATTTTTTATTCCTATATATATACTTATCGTTATATCTCTTTCTAACCAAAGACATGTTAGCTTAATATAAGACCTGTAAGGGATACTCAACCTGTCAGATGCTCTGAAAGTGTTGTCATGACTTTATGTTGGCAGATCTTCCAAGGGTGACGAGATAGTGCGCGACCTTACGATTGTGTACAAGTTCTGAAAAGAGTTGTATGCTACAGTCATGCACCCCTTCCCAGTAATATTTCCATCCGAAGTTCAGTGATAGAATGCTCTTCGGTCAAAAACGGCAGGCAGTGTCGGAATTCGATTTACAGATGATCCACTCGCTAGACCACATCTCATTTACTGGCCAGTTAAGGTCAGAAAAAGAGGAGAGGCTGGATTGTGAAAAGCAATACAATGCATACTAAAACTCCGAAAGTTTGAAGCCATATATTCCACTTAAAATACGAAATAATCAATAGAAAGGTTGAAGACACCTTTTTGAAAATAAAGCACATTTCTGTACTGTTTTATTCAAACATAGCGCGAAAAAATCAAGTATTAAAACAAAACGAAACGAAAAGAGAAGGATGTTTACGTTAATAGAATTAACTGATTGGTTGATTTGCATAAAAAGGGGCATAAAATAAGGAAGGATAACAAACACAAGACAGACAGACAGAAGAGACAGAGAGAGAGAAAGGGAATTGACAAAATCACTGATTGAGATAGCCTTTATCCCCGAAGCAAATCATAACTTCATGTAGTCATTTAATGAATGTGCACTTCAGAATCATTTTTTTTGCGTTGGGGTTGATAGAACTTTATTGAGCTGCAATAGCTGTTGAGTCTTTCTGTAGATTTGCTTGCATGCGTACTTGGAATTTCGGTGCAGAAAGTGGTCGACGAATAGGATCGTTATCAAGACCTCTACAAATATTCCCATTACTGTTGTTATTATTATTGTTATTATCATTATTATGATTATTATTGTTATTTGAACAATCACTCATATTCTCAGCCACTACTCGATGACCTAATCTCTCTAGAAATGATGATGACGCTGTACTGCATCCTGGTGGGAATACTCTGTATAAATCATATTTCATATGGAGTGTTGAACGACGTCTCAATGATTCTACAGCTTGTAACCGACGTTCACGTGCAGTCGGTGTTTCATGATGAAGTAGAAATGGTGATACACTAGCTGGTATATCTAAGTCATAATCCTCCTCCCCATTCTCCTCCTCCTCGCCCATCTCCTCACCTTCCTCAACCTCTTCACGTAAGACATGTCGATGATTCAATGTCATTTCACTGTCGAATCCCTTTAGTCGGCTAAGATTATTAACACTATTCGACATCGACGGTGAACAGTGTTTCTCTTCATCTGTATGCAGTTTTATTAATTCTGAAAAGTAGCTAACTAAATTCTTTACATTTGGTATTGGTGTATCACGATTTCGAATTAAATTCGGGAATAATTCCGTGGCAACCTCAGTTGAATCATTCAATTGTTCAATTTTATTTGAATTTCCCGCTGAAAATAAACTAGTTATGTCTTTAACACTTGATAAATTACTGGATATCTTACTATTCATATAGCGTATTTCTGATGTTGTCAGTGTGGAGGCTTTCTTTGATTTCTTGTCTTTCAGGAATATCCTTTCAGTACTGCATGCTTTTGGTTTAGGCGCTAAAATTGGTGGTGATGATATTGATCTGTCTGGTTCATCAGAGTAATTACTATTATTATTATTACTATTATTATTGTGACTAAAAGTTAAAGAGACTGTTTCTTGGGATGTTTTAAAATGTGTCAAGTTATTCTCATTATTATTATTATTATTGTTATTACTGCGTACTTTAGAACTCTGAATTGTGATAACCCGTTCAATATCAATGTTAGCAGCACCACCGGCTGGATTTGATTGAGATATGTTTGAGTCAAGTGTCTCAGAAGATGTCGACTTCTCAGTATTGTTGTTATTCTGATGCTTATTGCTGCCATTCACAAGATCTCTCTCCATATGAATCAGTTGTGTTGGTTGTGCATTCATCCGACTACTTCTCTCATAATTATTATTATTGTTATTTATGTAACCACCTTCATCACTGTTATTGCCAATGTGATTTGCGTTGTTCACAAACTCTAGTTTAATTTCATTAATAGGAGAATTTGTACAATTGGATTTCGTACGACTTCGTGCCACATCATCTTCACCTATGTTTTGACTTTGTACGCCATTTACGTGGCTGTTGGCTATATGTTTTATTATCTCCACCTTAGATTTCATGTCTTTCTTATGATTATCTTGTTGTAATTGTTGTTTTCGTGGCGGTACGGGTGCCGGTGGAGGTGATGGCGATAGTGGTGGTGATAGTGGTGAGTTTTTCTGTTGACTAACAAATTTCTCCATCAAATGCCGATTGTCTTGTTGACTATGCACAGTTGAAGAATTTCTCCAGCCAGTGTTGACTTCATTTGAGTGATCAACAGGTATCGAAACATCATAATCAGAATTGTCAGACTGCTGTAGTACAGCCATATCGCTTTCATGATATTCATTCGACTGAAGAGGTAATCTAGTCGGTGAACTTGCAGCATCCCCCAGCGTTCCAATCTGTATCCACTGAGTAATATGCTGTTGTTTATCGGCTTCATTCATTTGCCTCGGTTTAATGTCAACAACAATCTTATTACAATCTGGTCGTGAGATGGCATTCAACGGTTTCGAGCATTTCGGTAAATAGTCATAAGATTTTATCTTATCTAGACTTGTATTACTGTTACTATGGTTACTGACATAGTCGCCGGTAGTTTGTATATCTTCACGTTTATTATAACTGAGTGACTTTCTAACTGGTGAGGCATAATATCGATTGTCGTCTGTGAGTTGTCTAGACGAATGAAAAACAGTAGGGTCGAATCCATCGTCTATGTCCAGCCGAGAATTGGCAGTATTATTATTATTATTAGTGTTATTGTTATTATTAATGTTGCTGGTGTTAAATGCTGAACTGATGAAATGTGGTGTTGAACACTTATCCAAAGAAATGCATGAATGAGACGATGACGGTAAATATTTCACCTTTTTGCGTTTTGTTGTTGTACGACCACAACCACTACAAACATAAGTACGTAATTTACTATTACACGACTTGCTAATCATTGTATTCCCAGCATCACAGCATTCTCTATGATTATGATGACTATGCGAATGATGATGCCGGTGACCGTTACCATGACCATGACCTTGACGATGACGTTTATGACGCAGAGAACGATTATAGTCTGTTTCTTCTTCCAGTGTACCTTTGATATTTTGAACATTAGGCAAAGATGCTGAATTCGGTGATGGGATAACAAACATGGCTGTCTTGTATAAACCAATCTCTGCAGTCTGTTCAACACATTTCTGTGATGGTATTCCGGGGCATAGGGAACGTGTTGATAAGGAATTCTTTTCATGATTATCTATAGAATGAAATATTGACGACTCATGTTTCCATGGTGATAAATTCAAATGATTGTGTAAATTGCGAAGTAGCGGTGGACGTCTAGGCTGCGATGTAATTAATCCGCTGTTAATGTGTGAATCATAACTATGCAAGGCATTCTGATGATCATAGTCTCCTCCTCCTCTGAATGGGCTTGAATGACATCGTACAGATGAATAAGGTTTTAAAGCATCATTATTATCAATTCTACGACTGAATGTATTTGACAGGGTATTGTACCGTGAATGCGGCATTCGATTATCTGCAATATTGTTATTGTTATGATGTCTGTATTTGTTTAACTCAATTTCATAACTTGATCGAACACTGAAATTCCCATCAGATGGTCTATGAGACTCCTGGTGGTGTCGACGATGATGCTGATGATGATAAGATTTTGATGTGTTTCGTATTCGTGAATGATCTGCATCATCACAATCATCATCATCATGGTATTTCACTAATGGATCAATATTCGCCATATTTGAATTATCGTCTAGATAGATTTTTGGCGCTGAATATGAACGATACTGTTCAGTGGGATCAATTCTTTTAAACTGTCTATTTGGCGTATAAATAATAGTATGTTCAAATTTAGAAAGAGATGGTGTACGTCTGTCAACTTGTAAGTGTTTTATTGTTAACTGGGAGAGTTGATGTGCCTGAGGTGATTGTTGATTCGCCAATTGTTGAACCTGAAACAATATCAAAATAGTCAGAGAAGATTATCACGTTTAGCTAATCAAAAAGGTGCGTCGGTGGCACAGAGGTAGAGTGCCCCCCTTGACCACGCCATAGGTGGTCCGGGATTCGATCCCCGGCCACTGGACGCACTTCTTTACCTCGCTAAATAAGGGAAGGTTGGGCATGAGGCGGCCAGCAACTGCATCCTGTAAAAATAATCCCCTTTTTCTACAGAAACTCAAAGCCTCTAGCTTGAAACCCAATGTTTCACTGAGAACGTAAGGGAATAAAAAAGCTACGAAAAGGTAACAGTGGATCAATAAGAAGTGCTATAATTGAGCATATATTCAACACTGGTCAGTTAGTAGGTAAGCGGAATTCATTCAGATTCATCTAGAGAGTCAAAAGAAGCCTCCTGAAAAGATAAGCTTCCGCATACTTTGCATTGCCGAGGAGGCATTAGCGATCTGGATAGAAAGACCTGATTTATGTACACAGAAGAAACTTATCCATCCCTTCCTTCTACACTGGATATAGTTCCAAATTCTACAACGTGGTAATGAAGCCTTTTTTGGCTTGAGAATAGAATGTGTGCACTGTGGTATGGCATAATTCCATTATGGGTAAAATTTATTTTGATAAAGTCTCACAGTGTAAAACAGTAATATTTACTGATGACGACGTTTCAAGCACAATTTATTGGTCATAATCATATCAAGGCTCAGTGGTAACGTCTCTGACTGCAGCTCTGGATAACGTGGGTTCGAATCTCAGAAGGGACATGAGTTCCTTTATAGGTTGCAGATACGCCTTGCTGGCCGGTGAGTGCCAACTATCACGAAACCTAGATGAGGTAGGGTTTTCCTGGAGCGGATTGCTTCCAACCATTTAATAATTTTTTGACTTTTTTGAATTTTCGTATGACTTCTTAGTAATATTTTTTCTTAAATAACCCTTTATTTACTCTTTCTACCTATTACATAATATACTTTGGATATGTGTCTCTATGCTCTTTCATTAACATCCTATTTTTATGGGTGTCTTTCCTATTACGCAACCCGTGTCAATACTTACCAATCTTCAACCCCCCACCCACTTACAGTTCGATTATTCATCACATCTTTTGAAATATTTTGATGACATAAACAATAACCCGAACTAATTTTTATTCTTGTCCGACAAACCTAATGAACACATACACACAAAATAATTGTATACAAATGCGATTGTACAACTAAGTGAATGAATTCGTCTCCAAAATGGGACTCATCGCTGAACTCTTTTGTTTTTATATTCATGTCTGGATGGGTATTTTCCTTGAATATCAAATTTAAGTTTAATTATTATCACTATTCTGTGTCAATGCGAATGAAGTTCATAAAACATTCGCCTGATTATTTTATTGTCACAATAGTATACTACTTAATAACATACAAGTAGTCAGCTAAATAATTTAAGCAGTGAATAATCGTTCAACACATTTGATTGTCAGTTTTCGTGGTATCATACGTATTAAACCAATTTAATCTATTACACTGGCTTACTGACAGGTTCATTTCGGTGAATTCTCATATATCTCACCATATTAACTACAGAAATGAGTTACTATATTGGGCTAATAGTAATAATAGATACTGTAGTTTTAACAAGTACAAATGAATAAGATAGGTCTTCAATCAGGCATGAAGTTCATCTGAGAAGCACTGTTAATGAAAGAAATCAATCAGTTCGTGTGATATGGACATTACTCACATATTAAAACATCTCACTTCTCATAGAGAATCTTATCATTTTGTGGGTTATTCATAGGTTGTGAATTACTGTTCCAAAATATGTGGTACAGGATTCGAATTTTTAGCAGTGATGTCAATCCAGTCAGTGATACTAAATGATTTGTAAACTTTATGCGTTATTAAGAGCATTTTAAAGGCTGGGGACTTTCATCGGTACCTGCCTTCATTCGATATTGAAGAACAGATGACCATAAAAGATAACTGATGAGGAACTCCGGCTGAGAGGAACAGTGAAGAACCAGTTGACAGACAAATATGCAGAAGTAACCTGATGTGTATTGGACTTAAGCTTAGGAGAGATTCAAGTGATAACATACCACAGGCCCTTGAATGGAACCTCAATGAAGCACGAAAACAAGTTGCGTGTGGTTCCGACAGTGACATGGGGAACATAATGTGAGGAAGAAATGTGAACTTGTGGGTACTTGTGGAGCTAGCTGAAATTGATAATGCAAACAAAATGGAATGGAGATTTGCTGCTGAATCGCAGTATTCTACTCAGAACACGGGGAATGAAAAATACTAGTAATAATGAGGCACTTACATAAGCTCAATAGTGCTCACCACCAACTTTATGACTAATTAAACTCATGAATTTCAGTCTGTTTAATTAGTACTCTTGAAGTAAACTGGTGGATGGTGACTAACAGTGGAATCCAGGATAACGCAAATTTCACCCTACCAATTTGAGACTGGCTTGCCAACTGGATGTACCTGCATTCCCCAGTGAATGATGTCCCCGTTTCCTCAATGAAGTCCGAACCAATTACCCATTGTTTCAAACGCCAAAGCGCTATCCACTATACCAATTGAGCCGTGATAGCCGTTTCTCCTGGCAATTGGTGTTAGTAATTATTTAATTCCATTTGGACCTTTCCGTCGATTGATTGGGCCGAAGTAGAAATTGAATTAAATTATTACTGATACCCGTTTCAAAAGAGGTGGCTATCGTGGCCCAAGTGGTCTAGGGGATAACGCTTTGGCCTTTGAAACTGTGGGTATTGGGTTCGAGCCTCGGTGGAGACACCGTCACTAACTCACTGGGGAATCCAGGGACATCCAGAAATGACGAGTCCAAAATAGGAGGGTGAAATGCGCATCCTAGACTCTACTTCTATTTAATATCTACCGATTTACTTCAATTTAAATAATCAGAAAACATCGAAACAGCTGCACAAGGAGCCGACATGTCAACCTGAGGTCGAGCACTTCGGTGCAATCAGTCAACAGGAAAGTCCGAATTCAGTTTCAAAAATTAATACTCTAACCGAAGAGTAACTTTTTGTAAAATATAGATGGGAGAAATTCTTACTTTGTGATTATGTAACCAGGCAAGAGTTCTGATCTCTGCTATGTGTTAAAGTGATTCGGCGCCTTTGATTGACAATGCCTTCAGAGGCCAATTACTCCTCAATCTTCTTTTTCGTAGCCCATAGAGGTTTCTACAACTAACTGCTGTCAGCTGTACCTTCATCGAAGATTTCAAATGTTTTTTATTTACATGTTACTCGAGTTCTAAATTTAACCTCAACTGTTTCTTTTATATTACACAGCTGGTTTTACCTTCTAAGAATCTCTGAGGCAGTATCACTGCAACAAATTTGAAAAACCATTTAAATTCCTCACAGACTATTAAAACAATGAAATGTCTATAAGGAGAAAAAAGATGGTCTTATTGAATGTTACATCATGAACTGGAATAATTTAAAGGGACTTTCAAACCAGAGACCACTTAACATCTGTTGTTTCGCCTTGGTTTGGAACTCTTCAGTGGTAAGCACCAGGACCTTCGGAATAAGAGGCGATAGTGATTTGAAATTCATTAGCCTGTCTACTTTAAACTCCGCCAGTTTGTGACATGAACGTATATCTATCCAGTCCACTTGATATGGTGGAACCCACAACTTCTCATTAGGACTACAGAACATAAATTTCCAGCCTAGTGATGAGCAGAAGACTGACTTGCAGATTATGCACGTTGAACGGATATCTATTCACTTCAGTGTACATTTCTTCAAGATTCGACATCATATGGAAAGTACCGTCGCCATTTATGATATCTAGCAGACCACATATTGTGGTCACCTCAGCCTCATCCTTGTTTAATAGCCGCTAGTAAGCCCAGATAAGAGAGAAGATTGGGCGTGAGGCTAACAACCCATCTCCCGCCCCCCAAAAAAAACAATTTCAGAAGCCCTAAGTTACTCTGGGCTACACAGAACAATGAAGTGAAAGGAAACCGCGGTAATATTTCCTCATGAATTTGATTCTAGGTCGGTTTGTTTCGATTCTCTGTCCCTATTTCAAATCTTACACCCCTACATTACCTTTTGAATAACCAGTCTGAGGATCAGTGACTATCATGTTTAGTTAAAGTATATTTCTAGTTCGATGTAAGTGATTCTAACGCACATCTACATAAAGTCTGTACTTTCAGTTAATAATAGTAATTATTATTATTTCCTTTAGTTCCTAGAGGAACATAGGGCTTCAGCTGCATGTCTCTACTGCGTTCGGTTCTCTGCCAACGTTTTCATCACCTGGCTGCACGTCTGCCCACATGCTTTCATCTCCTCTTCGCATCACCTCCCCCAAGTCACCCTGGCACTGAGTACCGACTTGCCACATCCCATTCGGCTTCCACTCGAACAATGGCCTGGAGTGTGATGTCACTTGATGGTTTCCTCAGAGTATATCCAACCCCCTCCATCTCTACCTGCATATTTATTGCACAATCGGTTCCTGCTGGGTTGGTTCGCTTCTAGACAGTCCTGTTGCTGATCTTTTCTAGCCGGCTATCTGATCTTGAGTAGTAATGAGCGAAGACAACCACTGATGAAGGTCTGTAGTTTGTTTGAATTGCTCTTCGTGACACGCCAAGTCTCTGATTCGTATAGTAAGTAGCACTGACTTAACATTGGAGTTGAAAGTCCAGATCTTATTTTCATTTTCATGCTGAGTGTGCTGGTGACCTCCACACAGACTTGAGTGTAATAAAAGCTTGTCTTGCTTTCCCTTCAGTCAATAAAGTTTACGAAAATACCTGTTTTTCTTGTTCAAAATACATGTCTAATCTTATTTCTGAAAGACAGAGAAAGACTAGTTCATACAAATAGTTCCATGACGTGTATTGAAGGTAGTCAGACATCTTACAGTAGTACAGTTCATTACCCTTGTGAACAACTGAACATCCTCAACTTCAACGTCATCCAATTTTT